GAAGAGAAACGACATCAAGCAGGTGTGACGGAGTTTTTTTGGATTTGTGTGCTGCTTTCATTTAAGTGTCTGCTAAAGTTCCTTGAGATTTTAGCTCTTTGTGCCAGCCCCTTTTCATGTTAAATACCTACATGTTTTTCTATTTCCATTCCTTAATTGAGACTGCACTGAGCTGCCATTATAGTTTTAATGAAATAGTTTGACATTTGTCAAATATACTCATGTTTATTTGTCGAGTCTTCAGAGCTCTAATTCATGCTAACTATGGCGATGTAGTTAAGAGACTACTAGCTTAGCACAAAGACTACCATGACAGTTTGAGGGCTACAACAACTGTTTACTCAAGTTTTCAGTTTTGTTAGCTGGGCTAACATTATGTAAATTCAACCGTAAATTTTCATCTCTTTTGTAGCCTCTTCACCAGTCTACAACCATGCAATTTTGGCTCCCCCTTACCGGTTTTGTAGTGACTAAGCAAGGCAGCCATTTATGCAGCAGAAGCAGGTCGATGTTAGCCCATTAGCTAGCAGCAAACCTAGCTTAATCCTGCAATAAAGTGGTCACTTGTCAAGAGCTTCATTACTTCTTTACGTTTTGTCATTATTGCCTATCCTGCCTTTAATAAGACTTACAAATATTCTATAATAGACTGTCTTTTTTTACCTATGAAATTATAAATGTGACTGGCACCTTACAAGATAACGGGTTACCATATCAAAACTAACCATATCAACAATAAAGTTAATATTTGGTTATTTGTAATTTGTAACTTACAAATTGTATTTTCTTTTTAAATTGTCAAACCACTGTGGTTATCACTTAGTACTCCGTGTAGCCTATGCAGTTTTTTTTTCTTTTTTTTAGAGCAACCAAAGTTGCAAGTAGCGTAGCATTCATTTGAATGTGGTTCCAAGTTTTGGGGAACATTTATTATTCATTTTAAATTCCAATAATTTTCAGTATTACTATAATTTCACCACATTTAAAATTATAACCCACTTGTTTTTTAACTTAGTGGAGGTAAGAGCTGGAGGTAAACCAGCTACAGTAGCTACTACTAACAAAAAAACAAACAAGCCCAAAACAGAACAAACACATTTTTAAAGTCAAAATTACTTGTATTCAATAATCATTAGTCATAGTCAATAATACCAATTAATAGCAATACGAGACAATTTGTTTTTGTTTGTTTTAATTGAAACATCTTCAGTCCTTCCTCCCACCTCATGCTTTTCCACACACACTTCCATTATTAGATTGATTATATTTGCTAAGTGGTGCATAACCCAAACACACAGAGGAAACACTTGAAATGCTTGTACATCCCCCCGCCGGCCAATCTCCTCAAAAGACAGCATTTGTTTTTAGTCTGCAGTAAGTTACTGTGCCAGAGTGGCCGACTTGTTTCTTGGTCTTATAGTGCTGAACATAAACTTCTGTTTTCAATCAGCTTTAGGTAATCACTGAACTCAGCTCTGTTGTATTATCTTTTCATTTCATCTTCAGACTCATACAAACAATTCAATCCAGTCATCCATTACTTAGCTCCAAATAGAAATAAAAAGTAGATCAGCTTTCCAATAACGCCTCATATTTATATGACTGACTGAACAGTTAAATATAGTATCTTGTCTTCTGGCTCAGCCTTTACAACCAAAAAGTATAGTTTAACATGATTTTTTTCACCCTTATTTCCCCTCTGATCTGCAGTAAATACGAGTTAAACAGTTGTTAGAGCAGTTAAAATAATTTATTGCACTTAGAACTAGAAAGAGACATTGAGCCAAACACAGTTAAAACAAAAACAATGAGAGCGCTGATGTTGTTAAAGAGTTTTAATCAAGCAAATATCCAAAAAGCTTAAACAGGATCAGGTTAGGAACAGATCACCGGTCACAGCAGATACAGTTATTACAAAGGCATTACACAGCAGTGGATTATTGCTGGGCCACTGTTGTTTTAAATAAAATCTCAGACTGGATCATGGATCACATGAGAACCTGAGGTGAGCAAAGCAATGAGACAGGGGGTCGCAGAGCCCCTCTCCCCCATCCCAAGACACTGGCATTTAAGAGTCCTCAAAACATTGGGCTCCAACTGTGAGCTGTCCTGTAAAAAGCCTGACACTACTCCTGCACTAGAATATGACTCACTCTGCATGCCATTCAGAAAATTAGAAGGCAAATTAAGACTTCATAATTATTCTCAGTTCTTTATGAGTCTTCATTTCTGCTTGAATAGCTAATGCTCATGCAAACGTAATTTTCTATCCAATTAGCACATCATTATCCCTGTTTGAAATAATCAAATCCCGTTACTATTCAGATGCAGATTAACTGCAGCTGTATTGTGTCCTAAGACCTGAGTTTGTTTTTTATGGCGTCTTCTCACAACTTTAGACTACTTGGGGACGGTCTTTATATCTTCTCAAAGCCCCGACTCAGGTTTAGATTGAAAAATATGTAAATAAATCAGACAGAAAGAACATTAATAAGCACGAGGGATCAGTGTGCAATAGACTCCACATCTGCCGGTATGAAAACAATTCAACTCTACTGAAATGAGCATGCATATTCACAATCCAACGAGAAACACTGAGACAATCTGTCTTACTAATACTGCAGCCCGCAAATCAAAGTATGCATCAGGAACGTCTGTGGAGAATCTGTGCACACAGACTAGATACTGAGATTCAAAAATATCTGTCTTTAAGAGGAAATCTTTCTGAAAAAATAAATGTTTGCAGCCAAAAATTAGTGCAGGTTTTTTTTTTTTTTCCCTGTGTTGTTTGTTTTGCTAGAGGCAACAGAGGTGAGACCAACCTATCATTTATTTGAGATGTGAGCACTCGTTCATTTGAAGGCAAATCCTCGGTGAACACATAAATATATATTTATAGTTTGTCTTTTGTAGACTCGCCATCAATACGAGAAACAAGATACAATTTCATGGCCATGGCAAGAATGAGAGAAATCAAACAAACACGGCAGCGAATTAAGAGCTGACATTACATGAACGCTTCATAATTTGTTCTGTCGACACGTTCCCTTAAATTTTTTTTCCAAAGTAAAATAATGTCTGATCAGCTGAACAGGCTAGGGGGACAAAAAAAAAACAAAAAAAAACTGTGATTGAGATTTTTGGGGGTTTTTTTGGTGTGCGTATGTATGTATGTATGTATGTATGTATGT